ACTATCATGCTCAGTCTTCATTTGGGTTTCAGTAATTCCTCTTGGTTACATTACCCTTGATCATGCCCTACCAGGCCTCCTACACCCTCCTACCACCGATTTGGATCATTTGTTGTTCCCTTGTCCCTGGGTTTATTAACACCGCTACCTTTCTCCCCACCTCCCCTTCTCCCATGTCCCCCTGGAACTGTCCATCCCGTTGTTTTCTCCTCCAGATTGTTCATCCAGCCTATCTTATTTAGACAGACCTGCGGAGATGGTAACATGCACAAAAACAAGACAGAGCAATACCAAGCATCAATATACAAGAAAACAACAACAACAACAAACCAATGACAAAAAACAAAACAAAACCCAACAAGAAAGAAAAGCTTGTAGTTAGTTCAAGGACTGTTTGTTGGCATCAGTGCCGCTTCTTCTTGGCACCTGTGCTGCCCTGGTTTATCCAGGCATGTGTGTACTGGATGGTATTGTCTCCCCAAGCCACTGGTGGCTGTTTAGATTTAAGCCACTGAAACTTAAAAAGCCACACCCAAACCAGTGGCTGTCAAGTGGGCTCCGCCCCATGGGGCCACGGCCCCTGTGTGGCAGTCAGAGTAGAGCCCTGGGGAACTGCAGCCTCAGGCCGCCAGCTTTTCTCCTGGGCGCCTCTCAGGGCTCTAGTTAAAGTCAATGAATGTAAAAATAAACCGCTGTTCCTTGGCTACACTAGCCACATGTCAATGGTTCAGTGGCCCCACATGGCCAGTGGCTATGTACTGGACATCACGGGTTTTACCTTTCCACTGTTATTGGGCATCTCAGCTCTAGAACCAAGTCTCGATGTTGTCTGCATCAGACACCCATGCCTCCGCCGTGCTGGGCCTCCACCAGGAAGTGGGAGTTGGTTTAGAGACGTGGACTAAAAAGCCACACGCTGTGGGTCTTAAGAGAGAAAGCAGCACTCGCAGAGACGGCTCTGTAACTGGGGTCCATCGGCATGGAGGCTCCGCTGAGGAGACCAGTGAGATGTTGGGGTTCCGTACCGACCCCTCCTTCAGAGGCGGGGTTCTCCAGCCCTCCTGGCCTGACTTGCCGTCTCGCTGGGAGCACAGCTTCTGCACCTGCAAAGGTGCTCATGATGGACCCTTGCTGCCGCCTGGTGCGTGAACTAGGTCTTTCTGAGCCTAAAAGCCCTGGTGCTCCGTTTAACGTAGGCTGGACTGAGAAAGGCGTTTCCTTTTTCATAATGAGTATGACGATGACCTTCCAGGGGGAGAAGATTTTTTATTTGATAAAGCCGACGGATGAGAATCTGGCCCTCTATGAGTCTTGGAGTTCGTCTGTAACCCAGAGCGAGGTGTTCTTTGGAGATAAGGTGGACAAGTGCTACAAATGCGTGGTCAAGCAGGGACACACCTTGTTTGTTCCCACAGGTAAGGCTCTGGCCCCTCCCCTTCCCACATCCCGGCAGCCTGGGTGCCTGCCCCTTTACCGTAGCTTCCTGCGGTGTGAAGTGCGACCTCAGGGTGCTTTGGGCCTGCACTCCCCTGATGGCACAGAGCTGCTTCGACTGCCTGGCGGTCCTCCATGGACCTTCTTGAAGGACTGCCTGCTGCGTCCCTGGCCCGCTCGTTAACCAGATACTCTGTCCTTCTCTTGGGACCAGCACAAATGCTTTACTTACCCAGGTCCAGCAGACAGGACTCTTCCGAGAGAAGCAACGCTAGCCCTTCCCGGCACATCGCCCCCCACCTCCCTGTGCCCGCAACGAATGCCATGGTGACCATCAAACAGGCCCCCAAACGCCCCAGAGCCCTTTCCCAGCTTGGCAGGACAGACTCGGTGGGAGCCACTCATCTCTGGTATTTGTAGCCAACACAGGCAGACCTGGGGTTTTTCACTTGAGAGTCAAACTTGCGGCTTTGTCCCTCTGGGTGACACATGGCCACCACTTAAAAATGTGTATTCTGTGTCAGAGCACAGTGTAGGGCCAGGGAGTGAATAGTATAAAGAAAAGGGTATTTGTGTATTTGAAAAGCAGACTTACATGCAAGTGTGTGTGTTTACTTCCGGTGAAGTCGTTATCTGAAGGTGTGGACAGTTCTTTAAGAAGGTAGCCTATCATTGTAAAAACGCTTCCCACTTTGAAGCATCTGTCTCTGGACAAACCAGAAGCATGACTTAGAGTCATAGGACCGTGAGCCAGAAAACCCATTGCCGCCAACCGATAGCGACCCTGTGAGGTAGGACTGCCTGCAGAGCTGTAATCGGCATGGAGCAGACTGTGGCGTCTTTTCCCTTGGGGCCATTAGTGAGTTCAAACCACTGACCCTGTGGTTAGGAGTCAAGCACTTAAGCCCTGTACCAGCAGGGCTTCTCCAGCAGAGCATTAATGAAACGAAAAGCTCATCGTCATTGGGTTGATTCTGACTCTCAGGACCACCCCCACTGCAATTCATCGTGTGAGGGCTGCTCTCCTTCCGAGGAGCCAGGGCTCCAGAGAAGGGGGTCCTTGGGTGCCTTTCATTGGGATCTTGGGATCTAGTCCCTTCCGGGGCAACCAGTCCCGTGTCCACTTTAAGGGGCATGTGCTTTTCATCAACCAGGGAGCCCAAAGCCTGGCCTGCCCACCGTTTCTGAGCGCTGCCCGGCTGTTCTGTGCCTTTTGCGGGCCACGCCAGCCCAGCCCTGGGCAGGAGGTGGGGCGCCGTGGGCACAGGGACACTGGCTGACTGCATTCTTCTGTTGCAGGGTGGATTCACGCTGTGCTCACGTCTCAGGACTGTATGGCTTTCGGGGGGAACTTCCTGCACAACCTCAACATTGGCATGCAGCTCAGGTTTGTGTCTTCGGCCCGTGAGGCCCTTCCTAAAGCAGGGCGTCCTTTAATAGTGTCAGGAGAATAAATGTGCGACTTCTCAGTGGAGCATCCACAGAGACAGGCCCGGAAATAAAGGGGAATGCAATTCTGTCGGGGAGGTGTGTAAATGCACCTTAGGGCTAGAACGAAATCCTGTCCTTTATTTGGTTGGAGACTAGAACCTGCCTCACCTTTTGGAACTGTGTAAAATGCCTGTGCTCTCTGCTGGCCCCGGGGGCAATGAGGGGACTGAGGCCACCCAGTCAGCCACAGTGCGGGGCGCGTGCTGGGACCCAGTGGCCCTGCTTCAGCATTGCTGGGGGAGGGGCACCCAGCCCGGTCTGCCTTTAGAAAGTCCCTTGTGAGAGAGTAACCCACGACTGTGATGCCTACTGAGAAGCAGCTGGGAGGAATCCCCCTCCCTGAGCGAGGAGACTGACTGGGTACCCCCATGGCAGCCTGCAGGTCTGCATCCGGGTGAGCTTGTGATGGGGAAGTTGGCTCGGTGGGACTGAGGCTTGACATGGGGGGCATGGCTCGGGTGTCTATCTGTGGACCTGAACTGTCACTGGGGAGCACTCTAGGGTGTCTGGACTGCATTGGGGACCCCACAGATAGGCACACAGTTGCCAGTCGTGGGTCCTGTCCCCTCACCTTCTGAATGGACAGCACCTTGTGCGTCCTGAGAACTGAAAGCCTTGGAAGAGCCTTGCACCCACCCTGGGGTGTGGCTAACACAGGGAGCTCACTGTTTGATCTGTTTTATACACCTCTCATAGAATTCCTTCTGGTAAGCCCAGGATGTACACCAAAGTGTGGTCTTCACAGCCTAGCCCCCTGTGTAACTCTGAAGATCTACCCAAGTGCTAAGGCGGGGACCTGGCTGGGCTCAGGGGGCAGTCTTGTGCAGCCAGACGCGGCATGTGTAAGGACCAGGCAGGGTGTGCTCATGCATTAGGGCCTGCTTCTTGTGTTTTCCTTAAGTTGCTTACCTACATTTGATGTTGGAATATAAATATTTAATGTGTCTTCTAATTCTATTCATGTAGGTGTTACGAGATGGAGAAAAGGCTAAAAACACCAGATCTTTTCAAATTCCCTTTCTTTGAAGCCATATGTTGGTTTGTAGCCAAAAATTTACTGGAAACCCTGAAAGGTAATTAGCAGTGTGGTTATTTTGTTGTTTGTATGATGCACACACAGAGAGGGGTGGCCATGATGTCCTGTGTTGTTTTTTTCCAGTACACTATTTTCCAGTCAATAATCTATTTAGCAAATTAGAGTCTCCGAAGGAGCCCTAGTGGCCCTATGGGCTAGACAGTAGGCTGTTAAGCACAGGATTGGTCGGCAGTTCAAACTCACCAGCCACTCCTTGGGGGAAAGATGAGGCGCTCTGCTCCAACGGTTCGGAAACCCTGTGGGCGTTCTCTTCTGTGCACTATGCGTCCATCTGGGCTTGTTCCCATTTCTAATTGTGAACCAGCCCACACCCCTTGTCTCAGCGGCAGGCTTTGAGGACTCCCTTCTCTGTTCCTGGTGATGCCGTTTTGACCTGTACATGGGCTGACATATATGCCAGCCCTGGGGCATGTGTTCTCTCTCTTGTTGGCGTCTCGTGTTCTCTCTTCATACCAGCCACACGGCTTGTTGGCATTCTGGCCGGCCCTCCCACTATCCTTCACCCGGTCTGTCTTCTACCTTGGTCTGTCTCTCGAGTTTCTGCAGCACAGGCTGACCCTCCTGCCCTTCCCCACCCCCATGCTAGCAGCCAGCTGACCAAAAACCTGTTGGAATTTTCATTTGGATCAGCACCAGGAAAATGTTAGATCATTAGATTACTTCATTAGATCTTCATTAATGTCCTTCAGAATTACACAGACACACACACACACAACACATGTATGTGCATATATACATATGTATGCTCTTAACAGACATCTCTTAGATTGATGCTTCTCAGTGCTATCGAGCCAATGCTGACTATTAGTGACTCCCTGTGGGTTTCCGAGACTGTAACTGTTTACAGGAGTGAAAAGCCCAGCCTTTCTCCCAAGGAACTGCTGCTGGTTTTGAGCCGCTGACCATGTGGATTGCAGTTCACCTAATAACCACTACACCACCAGGGCTTCTTAGTTTTGGATGGTCTTATAAATGATGTATGTGTCATTATTAGAGTGAACTTATGTAACAACAATAGATATCACTATCTTACATAAAATTACACATATGATTGAACCATATGAAACTGCTGCCTTTGTAGGTCAGTAGTGCTCAGACATTTCCTGTGGCTCATCCTAATAACCACGTAATGCTGGAATATTGGAGCAGTTAATCTTTATGCTGACTTTGTATCCAGTGACCTTGTTCAAAACTTGTTGAGTCTAATAATTTGTCAGAGGATTTCAGTTTCTTTAATACACAATTTCTTTCCTCAAGAATGAGAGCTTTGATCCTTTCCAATTCTTACATCTTTCACTGATCTTCTTGCTTTGTGGATGACGACGACGAGGCCCTCCAGGGTGGCGTGGGGGAGGTGGTGACAGCATTCAGCTGTGCATTTTACACATTGTGCAATCCCTCGTTGTCAGTCTCCAGCAAGCCTCTCACTGGTACATATTTTGTTTGCTGTAGGTTTTTTGCTATGCATCTTTGTTAAATTAAAAAAGTTTCATCTATTCTCAGTTGAGTAAGAGGTTGGGATTTTTCTTTGATTTTTAACATGATCATTGTTAGTTGGACTTTATCAAGAGCTTTATCTGTGTACATCAGATAGTCCTGGGCTTATTTTTTTCTTTCAATCTGGTGGGTATAGTAATTGATTTTCTAATATTGAACCAACTCTGGGTTTGATAGGTTATTATTTTTTGATGCTATTGCATTAGAAGAGAATATATTGTATAGTTCTACATAAGCTTATGTATTTTCACCATATACAGATGAAAATGTTTGTACAAAAATACCTAGTGTATACATATATTAGTGTGTGTGTGTGTGTGTGTGTGTGTATGTGTGTATGTGTGCGCGCGTGCGCGCTCTAGTGACTTTGCTCATGTGTGAAGTTGGCCCATACGTTTGTTTGCTTGGGCACGCTCCCTTAGGTTTTGATATGAAAGTTATGCCAGTCTGAGAAAAAGAAATTGGAAGTGTTTCTTCTTTTTCTTTTCTTTGGAGAAATTTATAACTGGCATGATGTTCTTCTTGAATCATAAGTAGAACCCACTTCTGGGGCCATTTGATCTTGATGTGGATATTTTAAACTATTGAGTCAGTATCTTTCACGATGATAAGAGTATTTAGATTCTCTGGTTTTCATTCCGTCCTCGTGGTCAGTCAGTCACGAGAAGCATGTCTGTGTCGCAGTACGTAAGTCGCAGCCTTTGCTGTGGCATCTCTTCTCTCGCTCTTGATACGGGAGCACTTGTGCTGCTCTTTTGATCACTTTTACCTTCAGAAACTAGTGAGTTTGTTCATCCTCTTTGAAGTTTTGTTAGTCCTTGACCTACTGTATATTCTCAGGTATAAGCCGAGTTTTTCCAGCACATATTTAATGCAGTTTTTGTGGTAAAATTAGGTGCCTCAGCTGATATGAGGTAGACTTATACTCGAGTATATACGGTACTTTTGCTTATTTACTTCCCTAATTTTTTTTCTCTTTTTATTGTTGTTTCTAAATCTTCTTAGTGGGCCCTTGATTTATTATTTTTCTGTCATAAATATTTAAAGCCACCTACTTTTCTGTACTACAGGCTATATATTTTATCGTAGTGTTCTCATCACTGCCTAACCAAAATAGTTTCTTATTCTCAAGATTTCTTTCTTTGATCTAATAATTATTTAGTACTCTGTTTTTTAATAAATGTTCTTTAAAACAAATGTCCTTTAAAAAGTTGGTCTCTGTGTTACTGAGTTCTAACTTCATTGTACTATGATGAACAAAGAGACTGTGTAGGATTTAGACCCTGGGACACACACTGAGACATGACCCAGGGCCAGGGGCAATCTTGCATATGTTTGAGAAGGCTGTGCTCTCTGCGGTCCTGGGTGCAGTCTCCGATTTATGGCCATTGAGTCAGGTTTGCTAACTCTGTTGTTCCTCCTGACCACCTGCCTCCTGATTCTCTTGTGTGATCCCAATAGTCTACCAAGCATTTATTAAAAGTCGTGTTGAAATCTTCCAGTGCCCTGGAGTTGCTTTATTTCTCCTCATAGATCTAGTGCCTGGTTGCTTCCTATGTTCTCAGGTTTTGTTGTTAATGTGCATAAATTTTCAATGCTTATGTTTTCCTGGTGAACACAATATTTTATCATTATGCAATGAGTGATTCTATATTAATAGCAATCTATTCACATAGCTATACAATTTTTCTTCTGAGAAACAGCTTTTCTCTATCTTTTTATTTCATACTTTGATATGTATGTTATGTATGTATTTTGTCAAACACATCTTTACATGTGTTTTCATCATCTTTTTCAAAACATTTTCTTTCTACTTGAGCCCCTGGCATCAGCTCCTCCTTTCCCCCACATCCCCTGTGGCAGTCTTTCAATGGGAACATTGAGTACAATTACAGTTGATGTGATTCTTGGACTTAAAACATTTTTTTTTGCTGGTCTTTTAACTGATGGTTTCTTGTCTCCTATTAATTTGGGAGTCACTGGCTTGACCCTCATCTTAGTGGCTCATCCGACTCTCCAGTGAACCCCTTGGTCAGCTCCCCTCTGAACTCTAACGCCTCTGTGCACCCTGATTCCTCCCCGCAGAACTGAGAGAAGACGGTTTCCAGCCTCAGAGCTACCTGGTGCGGGGAGTGAAAGCCCTGCACGCGGCTTTAAAACTGTGGATGAAGAAAGAAGTAAGTGCCCCCCCCCCCCCTCCCATGCAGTGGCAGCGCTTCCCTGGGGAACAAAGGCTGGGAAAGATCCCTGGTGCCGGGTGCACAGCACCTGTGAGCCAGGAAGTGGACGTCTGCCGGCACTGCACGTGCAGTTTGTACAGATGTGCCCATTGTCTTTATAGTTGGGAGAATGAGGTAAACACTTCTGTGGTGTCTAATCCGGAGACAAGAGAACTCCAGGATCCAGGCTGTTGACCAAGACCTGGCCGTGTGCTGAGCACGGGGCTAAGTCTCCGTGGCGTAACCTGCAAGCAACCCACCGACACCTGGGTGCTCTTGATCCCCTCCGACCAACGCGAAAGTGGAGGTGCTAGTTTAAGGAACTTGCCTGAGATCCCTGGTGGAGACGGGACTTTGGCAGAGGTCCCTGCAGTTGCGGTGCTTATGGCCTGACCCGCCGCTCTGTCGTCAGAGTGGAGGCTTCACGCAGAAGCTTTCTGTCCCCACTGAGACGCTGTCGGTTTGGCACGCAGCCCTCCTTTTGGAGTGGGCATCCCTCCCTGTGTGCATGTCTCACCAGTATCATAGACTTAAAGGCTGCCGTGTAAACTATGTGTCCCTGTCTCCCTCCGGGGTTGACGGCGACAGAATTCCTCATCCTCACGC